TTGTGCTGAGATTTACACATCTGCAGAGATGTTCCAAAGAAATAACCAAAAAGAAGACAGAAAGAAAGAGGCGGACAAAATATTCCTTTTTATTCAGTCATTTACCTGAGTGCACATTGGACTCACGGGCGGGGGGTGGGGGGGGGGGGGGCTTTCCAGAAACCTTGTGCCCAGGTCTGACCTCAAACTAACTTAATTAGAGTCTCAGGAGGTAGGATCTAGATGTCAGTAAGCAACCAGGTGACTCCAAGGCATAACCAGTCTGGAGTGCCACTGATTTACTGGAGTTTAGGCTAAAATAGCTGTGTAGAGACCAAAACTGGAGTTTTCAAAAGAAGAACAAGAAAAAAAAAAAAACGGAGGAAGGAGGAGTCATTTAAATGACATGATCTTCAATTTTCTCTGTCATCCCCTCTGTGCTTTAGTGGGCTAATCAGATGTAGGGTCAAACTGAGAAGGTCTACACTGATGATCTCAGCCTGGGACAGGCCACTTTTCCCCACCACACCTGTGACCACAGAGGCCTGTAGGTTACAACGGGGGGAAAGAAGGACAGCACAGACAATCAAGTCCTGTGCTCTTAGGGGAGTCACAGGTAATCATGATACTTTGTTAAAAGAGAAATCCGCCGAAACCGGTTTGGCTCAGTGGATAGAGCATCGGCCTGCAGACTGAAAGGTCCCAGGTTCGATTCCGGTCAAGGGCATGTACCTGGGTTGTGGGCACATCCCCAGTAGGAGATGTGCAGGAGGCAGCTGATCGATGTTTCTCTCTCATCGATGTTTCTAACTCTCTATCTCTCTCCCTTCTTCTCTGTAAAAAATCAATAAAATATATTAAAAAAAAAAAAAAAGAGAAATCCATTACTGCATCAGCAATGCCAATTATAATCCAAAAATTCCATTCCGGGTATATACCCCGAAAATGGAAAGCAGGGACTCAAGAAATATTTGCACACTCATGTTCATAACAGCACTATTCACAGTAGCCAAAAGGTAGAAGTGATGCATCCGTCCTCCAACAGGTAAATATGGATAAACAAAATGTGGTATGGAATGGTGTTGGCTCTGAAAAAGGAAGGGTATGCTGACACAGGCTACAACTTAGATGAACCTTGAGGACATTATACTAAAGGAAATAAGCCAGTCACAAAAAGACAAATACTATAGGATCCCACTTGTATGAAGTCCCTAGAGTAGTCAAATTCATTGAGACAGAAAGTAGTATGGTGGTTGGTGGGGTATGGGGTAATAGAGAATTATTGCTTGATGGGTATAGAGTTCAGTTTTGCAAGATGGAAAGATTTCTGTGGGCAGATGGTGTTGATAGTAGCACAACAATGTGAATGTACTTAATGCTGCTAAACTGAATACTTAAAATGGTTACAATGGTCAATATTGCTATGTGGTATTCACAATTTCAAAAAAAAAAAATGTTTTAAGTAGGGGGGAGTCCAATGAGTGTCCCTCACTTACTGTTCTCTGGTATTAGTGGAGGTTACTGAGGACAACATCCCATAGATGTGTCATCTGTAACTGTAAAGCCTGAGGTCTGTGCCCAGCATACCCTGGGCCACTGACATCAATTTGGCAGGACTGGCTGACTTGAGAAAGAGTTATAGAGCCTCGAAGCTCCCCTGGGGCACATTGAGGGCCAGCTGGCAGGCCTCAAGTTTCATGTTATATAACCAGGCTGCCGGCTTCCAAACACCACGAGGTGAATTCCGACGTGTTCCATGGCTGGGATGAGCCAGCCAACTGATGATTAATTCCCAAATAACTTCACCATGGAGCCTTTTTCTAAATCCCAAATGCAGTAATGCCACTTATTTATCAGCTGAGAAACCTCAGGGTTTCTCTGTGATGGGTCAACGCAACATATTTTGAAAGACGGGCTTATCTTTCACCCTTTCCTTCCGTTTTGCTTAGTATTTTAGGGACAAAGGAAAACTTCAGTAAGGAGAAAATTCCACCAGCAACAGCTCTTGTGAGCTGCTTAGTAATCCAAAGCTTTCAAGTGAGTAAGCCTTCTCCTTTACTGACACCCTTGCGACAGATAGAGAAGAAAAAACACCACAGCTCCTCTCCGGTCAGGAGTCCTAGCCCTTTTCCTCAATCAGCACTCCATGAAGATCCTATACAGGGGATGTGACAAGTGAGATGTTTTCCAGGGGAAGTTACAGGCCCTGGAGGCTGGTCCCCACGGCCATGTGTCTCAGCTCTGGCCAGGCATTTAAATAAACCTGCATTGCTCTCCCAGCCTTGAACCAGCAGCACTCACATTGGCCTTGAAAGTCTGTCCAGCGATTCACCATGAAGCCCAAAATTTGGCAGCTAGAAAAATGAAAACTTTCCCCGTTCTCAGAATTTGCATATTAACAGTTCAGCCAGGAGCCAATCATTCAAACAGGAGTTAGATTAAGCACTTGGAAATTCTTCTACTAAGCTCAGATAGACAGGAAGGAACACTCACTTGTTTCTTTGACATTGAGTTCTGCAAAACACAAGAAATTTCACTAAATCTGAGCAATAACAGGAAGGGGAGTGGTCCGAGTCCATGGAGGACAAAGGAAATCTAACTTGAATGGTGTGGCTTGTTTATGATGAGGTCTAAGCTGTGCTCATTGTTTTTGTTTTTAATATATAGATATTTAGGAATAAATTCCAAAATACTCTTTAACACAGAACATAGCACTTAGGATTCCAGGAGACATCCTGAAGGGCAAGAGGGGATGGGGTTTTCTGGACACTCCTAACCCCTCCCTACCCTCCTCACCTCCCAACCAAATGCATAGTCACTTGTCAGTCAACTATACTCTTCATTATGGATCTGGATTCAAAACGTAACCTCCTGCCACATGCCTCCCTGGTGTTTGACCCATCTGCTTGTCCTTGAATGGGAAGGCGAAGACCACCTCACTCTAATTGCCATGCCTGCTTCGCAATTCCACAAGGCTCTCTGGAGCCCATGAACTCTAGGACAACGATGTGGTCCACGGAGAATGTGGACAGCAGTATCCCAGCTGTATATTGGTACCACCACAGATCATTGACATTTTCTCATTAGGCCTTCTCTTTTAAAATATATTTTTATTGATTTCAGAGAGGAAAGGAGAGGGAAAGATAGAAACATCAATGATGAGAGAGTCACTGATTGGCTGCCTCCTGAACACCTCCAACTGGGGATCGAGTCTGCAACCCAGGCATGTGTCCTGACTGGGAATCAAACCATGACGCTCAACCACTGAGCCACACTGGCCGGTCCTCATTAGGTCTTTGAGCGCAGACGAAAGGTTAGCAGATCTATATACTGCCAAAGAGGAAGAAGGAAAGGTGTATTTCCCATCACTGCTCCTTAAAGGTATGCTAAGCAACATATGTAACTTAATCGCCTATTCCTTTCTTTGCCCATAGGAGAGAACTCAGCTCATGAGATATCACCATTTATATATAGCCCAATACCAAGATAATTTACTATATTCCAAAATACTGCCAAGACTCTGAGGATATTTTTTTTGTACATTGAAACCACAGAATGACCATAAATTATGTAAAGGGAGAATTTTTTAGTACATTTCAGACAAAAAAATAAAATAAAAACCCGAAGCAACAGAATTTAGTGCTTAATAACTTTCACATGCTAAAGTTCCCGGTTAATCAACTGCAACTTTTGATATTTTATTTAATACATCTAGAAAGCATCACTGAAAGAATAATTTTCACATTGCTTCTAAATTCAACGAGAGTGGTTACATTATTATGACAGAATAACATTTGCAGGGTCATTCTTTAAAATGAATACACAAATTATTAAATCCCACAGTCCTCTAATCCACACTGCAGACTAATCGAATGCATTTACCCCGCCTTTCACATCTCTCAGCATGTGGCTTGCATACTGCAGAGTGAAAGCTTTCCCTTTCTGACCTAAGGAGTCATTTTTTTTCTCTTGACATCTTAAGAGTAATTTTTAATAATGTTTCCCAGTAGTTCCAATGTCTGTCAATTTCTGACGTTCCAGACTGACTTGGCAAGTCCATTCTTCTCCCACAAAAACACCCAGCAATTGCAGCTACCAATGACTCCCAGGCACATGGTCTGCCAAATACTCTATTGTAAAATCCACAAATCCAAATGCTTCCCAGAGGGCACCACACATTTCCTGCCATGCCCATGACAGGTGCTCCCAATAGCATGACCTCCAGGAAACTGATACATACACAGTATATATACAAAGACGAGCCAAGTGATCAGGCTGAGAATCCTGCGGCCATACTCTACCAACCTTAGGTAAGACATTGGTCTCTAAGTCTCTGTTTCCCTGTTTGTAAGATGAGAATACTAGTTGTAACCACTTTTGTTGACACAGTAACCAAGAGATAAGAAATCCTAGTGCTTAGGGTGGCATTTGAAGTTTTCTTATAATCTTTAGTCTGATTTCTCAGGGAAGCGAACTAATTCTCACAGGTCAGATTAATTGGCAAAGCAAGAACCAGTTAGGCCTAAATTAGGGTGTCCCCGCCTTAAATATTTTCTTTAGAACAAGGTCAGATGTAAATTAACATTGACAGCAGTCCCTAGAGAATTATACTGGCTGATGTGGTGACAGAGCCAAAAATGGCTTCTTTGATGGAAAGTTAGGATGGGCCCAATTTAGAATAACAAAACATTTCAACAAAGGCTTGTTTTCAATCTAGAAAAAGTTGGCCATAAATTTTCTCAAGCTTAACAGTAATCTAATTAGGCAAAGCTAGAGTGGAAGTACTAACACAAGTATCTATCACGTAGGCACTTTCTGAGCTGGGTTTCAAGCCTGTATCATAGGAAAAAAAAAAAAAAGTGATGAAGAATGACTATTCCATGATAACCAACACTGTTGGCTACATGATAAAACTTCCTCTTCAGTTATTAACAGAGAGCTGTGTTTCAAAAATTAAGATCTACATGCTTTTTAAGTAGAAAAACCACAGTATAAAGTACTGAGTCCCCTAGGCTACCTACCAATGCAAGGTTGGTGCTTCACTGGAAACTCCTCACTCTCCCATTCTGCTCTCAGATAGGTGGGTAGGTGATAGACAGATGAACAGATGGATTTATAGTCCTTGAAATCAATCAACCTATAGGTCATAAAAGAGTTTCCAAAATATTTATACAGATTAAACCAGAATCAGCCCCCAAAAAGGATGATTCATCTTAATACTGATCAAAAAAGTAAGAAAGTTATTTTAAAAGACAGTATTGCTTTTCAGCAATTCGACAATTTTAGGAAGAAGGAAATATTTTATTCTTGTTGTCACTGTGAGATTTCAATTCTCAGTGCTCTAATGGTTTTCAAAAAAAGAAACTTTGAAATTCTTTATATAGAGATGTTTTGGCTGTGAAACTTCCTTACAAAGTTGGCTACAAGTCAAATTTCTTCCCCAAATGGGCTTATTGTTACTATGAATTAAGAAATGAGTCCCAGATCTACAGATGTTGGGATCTAAAGATAATAACCTGACCCTGGCCAGTGTGGCTCAATTGGTTGGGCAGCGTCCCATGTATCAAGAGGTCACCGGTTTGATTCCCGGTCAGGGCACATGCCCAGCTGGATCCCAAGTAGAGGGCATGCAGGAGGCAGTGGATCGATGTTTCTCTCTCTCTCTTTACCTAAAATCAATAAAAACATATTTATATTTAAAAAACATAAGCCCTAGCTGGTTTGGCTCAGTGGATAGAGCGTTGGCCTGCAGACTGAAGGGTCCCAGGTTCGATTCCGGTCAAGGGCACATGCCTGGGTTGTGGGCTCGATCCCCAGTAGGAGGCGTGCAGGAGACAGCTGATCAATGATTCTCTCTCATCATTGATGTTTCTATCTTTCTCTCCTTTCCTTTCTGAAATCAATAAAAATATATATTTTTTAAAAAGTATAAAGATGACACCCTCACTCCCACTTCATCCCAGTCCTGACCCATCACCCCCATGGATCAGGAGCTGGGAAATCACTGCCCTCTGCCCTCTCCTTACTAGAGTTTCTACCTGAGGTTCCCTTCCACAATAGAAAGCAAGCTGGTGACCCCCAGAGGCATAACCTAAAGCGAGGCATGGTGTGGTACGGAGCAGGGTGACCAGAGGACTGAAAGTGAGAGCCATGGTTTGGAATTTTGCAACAAATGAACTATGTGCCCTCAGCAGGTGACTTGACCTGTGCACATCTCAGGTCCTCATCTGCAAAAGAAGGCAACTGGATCGCTCAATTTTTAAAGTTCTCCCCAGCTGTGGAAATCATTATTTATAGAATAAGCACTATTTGCAAAATAGCAATTTTCAAATCTGGGGCTCCCTCATTTGCAAAATTCTTGCCTCATGAGGCTTCACAACCTGAATTTCTGGGGGGTTAGGGGGTGGGGGAGAGGGGACATGCCAAAGTACCAACTGGTTCATGCTATCCCCCTTGAAACATTTCATTGCATTTCATGGACTATCAAGGAAACAGCAAATCACAGGCATTTAGACTTCAGCGGGTTTTAAGGGACCATGTGGTGGGAGTGGGGAGGCGGTTAGAGACCAAAATCCACCATTTGACTTTGGAGGTTTTATATATAAAACCAGAATAATGTGGGGGGGTTTTGTTTTACTACCCTAACCTCCACACACTTGAGAAATCCGATGCTAGGCAAAAGATATGCAAAACTTGGTCCAATTGTGAAGGAGATAATGTATCATATAAATCTAGATAGAAAATTGTCTATCCAAGGGAGAAAAATAAAACCTCTTTATAGTATATTTCTGGTATACCTTCCAAACTGGTCTAGAAATACCTCACTCAAGATAATCATATTTAAAAACTCTAAAATCCTATTTTTAAAAAGTACATTTAAAAATAACATATATTAGCAAGTCAAGAGTTGCCTTTAAATTCTAGCCCTTCCAAGGTATTTTATGTTAAAGATCATTACAGATTTAACAAAGAATTACAATTTAAAAAGCACTAGCTGAAGATTAATCACAGCCTTAAATTATTGTAAGGTCAGTAGGAAAATATGATTCAGTTCCTCTATGGCGTAAAGGGAGGTCATGTTCCCTAAAATGTCATAAAACACAAATAGTTTTACTTTTTCCAAAGACACAAGTAATCCTGATAGCTCAATGAAGCAGAATTGCTAGCTTTTCAATTCACCTAAGCCTTATTCCATGATCCTAGCAATTTTCTCCTCTGCATTTGTCTGGCCACTCTTTTGGCCCTTTGCATATATTACTTTGAATTTTATTGGTCCAATTATTCTATTGGCCTGTAAATCCCTTGAAGGCAGTATCCAAATGTTATACCTCCTCTGTATGCTTAATTCCTACAGGAAATATCCCCCGAAGACATCTAACCCAAAACTCTATCCCTTTTAAAATTTTGTTTCCTGCCTGCCTTTTAGTTGGTTATAGCTATGTGACTGTGCCTCTGCTGCGGGATGTGAGCAGAAGTGATATGTGCCACTTTGGGACCAGCACCTCTTTCATGTCCCCTCTTACTCCTTGTGACAGCACCCAGCCATGAACATGGAGATGACAAGGCCCTAGGGAATGGAGGAGCTATAAGATGAAAGGAACCTGGGTCAATGAGTATCTGAATTGAACAGATATTCATAGCTGCATGTATGGAACACCTATCTCAACACTATTAAATGAGAGAGAAATTCATTTCTTTAACTCTCAATCTTGTGGTTCTCTTAGCAGCTTGGCTTTTTACTATAACATGTGCATATTTATAGTTGAAAGCTTAAGAAAATATGAGAAGCAGAAGGAAAGTCACCTGAATCCTACCACGCCTAAATAACTATTAATATTTTGGGATAGTTCCAGACTTTTCTCTATGCCTACAAAAAAAAAAAAAAAAAAAAAAACAACCAAAACAAACATACACATATTTTCTACAGAAAGAAATCATACTGGTTTATAGCTGTATGATTCTCTCACTTAATATCATCTATTTAATATATTGATATTTTTCTAAATAAAAATACATATATATATGACTTTAATGGCTATACTATAATATCCTATTGCTTATATTTATCAGAATTTATTTAACCAACTTTTCATTGTTAGACATTTGGGGATTTTTTTCCTTCTAAAAATTGTATTATAAACAACACTGCAGAGAACATTCTGTACATGAAGCTTTACCTGTCAGATCTGTTTTTCCCATAAGTCTCTATTCTTAACATATCTTTGCAAAGATGTTCCCTCTTTCTGGGTACCTGCATTAAGTCATAATGTCTGACAGACATTTGCAAAGCTACTTTCTACTAATTAATTATAATTTTGGACAAAGCCCCATTCCAATTTTGTCATCCATAGACAAAGGGAAAACCAAACAAGGTTCCAGCTCTCCAGTCCGCACCCAAGATGAATAAATGGCTCCCTACGCAGTGGAATCAGCCAAACTCCCTTATGCAATGCAGCCCTGGTTAGTAACACACACAAAAAAGAAAGCAGTAGTAGGCCTCGTTTCCTGCTGACAAACCTTGATCTACATCTGTGTTGCCAATTACTTGTTCAACAAACCTGTTACTTTTTTGGAAATAATAAATAATTCAGGGAAAGTCATTCTGAATCCTCTGACATCTGTTGCTTGTATGACTTTGAATTATTCATCAGTGAGCAAAAACAGTATTAATTAAAGTACTGAGGCAAACCATTGAAATAGAAATGAACACTACAGAAGAAAATGCCTTTACTCAGAACATACTTCCCATCATTGACAAATATCTCAAAGCACACACACGCCCGTCCTTGGAATTTAAAGGGATGGGTACACTGAGAAATCAGAAGATGGGATATGTGATGAGCACCGTTTTATGTTTCCAAATTTATTTTTTTTCTCTTTCCTTCAGAAACATCATCATCTTTGATTTGGTCTTCTACAGCATTCTACCCCTTGTTCTCAGTCTGGAGGAGTCTGATGGTCTCCGAAGAGAAAAGAAATGTACAAATTGAGGTTCAAAAACATTGCAAGAATAAGTACCAAGGGATCAAGTCATCATGTGCTCATTTGTAAACCGAGATTTAGATACATTAATGGAAGAGTTCCCTCAAATTAAATATGGCTCAATTAATCTGGCCTCCACAGCCCGATCATTTATTTCCATGACGACTTTGGCACTTCCCTTTGACAAAGGGCTTTCTGGTGGTAATGAGCAAGAGAGAGAAACCTGCAGTCCCTCTATGTATTCCACATGAGTGGCTCTTGGTAATCCTTCCCAGCCTGTCTCTCGGCTCACTTCGAGTGATATGATTCAGTAACACCCTCCGTGTGTGTGTGTGTGGGGGGGGGGGGGGAGTGTGAACATCAAAGAAATGTGTTAAGAGTTTACGAAGCACTGGTGGCAAACAGTCACCGCCAAAGGTGGGGCAGGAGTACCTGGTTCTTCAGGTACCAGAAAAAACAGGCCTCTCAGGAAAGGCAAGAAGGGGAGCCACTGATGGGGGCTTAAATGGGGGAGATTTTCAGAGCAGCCTAGTCACTTGTGTGGCTCCAGAGAAATCATTCCGTAATGATTGCTTGACATGGAGGTAACCTGACTTGCTCCCTCCACCCTGGTACCAACTGTTCAGGTTGCTGTGGGCAACAAAGGAGAAACACTGGGCAGGCATAGGGAGGGGATCTGCAGAGAACAGGGAGGCCAGAGGAGGAGGAAATAGAAAAAAAAAAAAAAAAAAAAAGCAGACTGAAGAAAGACGCAAGCCCAGTTTGGGTGGTTTGGGATCTTTTCAAAACCTCTGATTGAGAGAATGACAAGCAACTGGCAAGCTCTTCTTGTGGTGGCCACTCCGTGAATGGCTCCTGTGCATAAATTAGCACTCGTTCCAGTCTCTCCAGACCCATCCACGGAAACCTCCCAACGCTTCCAGAAAGAGAGGCACAGAAACCCTCCACAGGCCTTTAATCCTTTCAGTGACACCCTTTCAAGGGACTTCACAAAGCGGGACAAGCCTCCCTTGTCTCCCCAAGTCTGGGTTGTTGCCGTGGTTTTGTTCCCATGCGAGGAAGGCTGGAAGAGGTACAGGAGGCGGTGGAGGAGAGCCTGGCAACTGGAGAAATGAAAGGAGGAGAAACAGCTCTGCCTGGCTCAGGATGGCCCTT